TATCTATGTATTCACTAGAAATAACTGTTAGGGTCATTTTAATTTCTAATCAGAGCAAACAGAGAAAAATACAATTAAATAAAATCTAGTTCAAATATTCTAACCATGTTTTCTGTACTCTTTTCATGAAATGAACACAACAGAGAATGATTTTCATTCATACAAACCGAAATAGCAATACATAATAATAAACGGAAATGTTTACTCACAAATAAATGGAAAATTGGGTACTTCCAGGAATATTTTTGCCTATTGGTGGAAGTTGCCCCATTTTGTGCCCGACACACCTTGCATATATTGTTGCATTATTAAATGATGATAGAAATTATTAGTTGAATCACAATTTTGAACCAATTCACAAACTGAAAGCACGATCTGAATCTGAATCTGAATCTGCTACTAAAGTTTCATTTATTCATCTCTATGCAAAACTAAATGGCGTGCTCTTTAGTAAACTTAACTGACAAATAAAAAGTGAATGAAAAAAAAATAATGATTTTAGATTACCACCACTATTAATTTCACTATGAATACATATCGTGAATTAAAAATAAGTTATGCTAATTTAAATGAATAAATAATATTATATAATTCATTAAATTGCACATACACTTAATTAAATTGCAGTCCTTGTGATTTAATAATCACAGCAAATCGCAATTTCATTTTTATTTCGATTAATCATGCAGCCCTAATGCTGCTGCTGCTTCTGTTTTGTCTCATACCTCAGTCTCATTCTGAATCCTTGTTTATCTCAGATGAACTGTGTGCTGCTAGATCAGATATTGTAACCAAACGCCTAAAATTTAGGCGTAGAGTTTTAACTCCTCTGCGTCTTGAATGAAACTTCTCAATCCAAACATTTACAAAGGCACTACCCAGGAACCGCATGCAGCAGTTGAAACTCAAAAAGACAAAAGGTCATTAATTATTTAAGAGGTGCTCCCTCAGTGTAATGTCAAAACCCGCTATATGACTCATCCACGCTTGAAGTGTTGAAATGGAGGTCTGCACACCTCAAAATATCTCTGTCAGAGTCACACTCGGGCTCCCTGCCGTAATCAATCCGTTAGCACAGCGGGCCTGCCGAGAGATTTGTGACTTAGACCCTTCCCCTGCACATGAGTGTGCGACGCAGCAGCTGTCACGCTCTGGTAATATAAGCCCTTATTAGTGTCCATTAGCCTGCACTGAAACTAATAAGAGATTGTCTAATACATCCAAACATTCACACAACTCTTCAGAAAACAGAACACGGTGGACATGGCGAATCACGCTCTTAATGCAAAGCTCGTTGACATGATCACTTCCATTACAGGGTGATCAGAAACAGTAGAGATTAATTGATGAGACACTAAGTTAAAACTAAAATCTACTCATTAAGTGAACAAAAATGATGATGAGATTCCCCTTCAGGAACTCGAGCTGCGTCGAGTCGCTTTGGGAACGCCCTTGCGTGACCGTGTTCTGAAGCACGTGTCAAATCAGTCCAATGGAGCAGCGAGACGTCACGAGCGGGGTGACGTAAGCACAAGAAAGTATAAAAGCGCATCCCATTCACTCACTCACAGTCAGTCAGTCAGTCAGTCAATCTATTAATCAATCACATAATTTCACATACGCACTGATTATTATAGCTTTTATTAATATTTTGCATTAGCTTTTATATGTATTTTTCAGTTTTCGTTTTATTTTATAGGTAAATTTTTTAGCATTTTTACATGCTTTTGATATTTTTTATTATTATTTTAATATTACTATGTATGCTTAATAAATTTTTATTTCAGTTTCAGTTACTTTGCATTTTGTATATATATATATATATATATTTTTTTTTTTTTTTTTTTTTTTT